AACCTCTCAGTCTCTTGACACCAAATACACGTGCCCCTGCACCTACCATTAATTGTTCCTTCAATTACACACCTATTTTTGCCGATACTCAGTCGTTTCTGAAATCATCCCCGTACTACACCCCTCGCTAGGATTTCTCACATCATTGAAGATTAAATTTTTTACCCACGGGCAATTTTAACAGGCGTCACCATCAGCATATTTCTAAAGTCAACGAGGAAGAAAAAAAAAACGTGGAAAAGATTCTCATATCTGTAGGGTTCATTATTTGAATAATTAAAAGAAAAATAATTAGAGAAATTCCTTTCCTCTCGCACGAAAAAAATATATTAAAAGATTGATTGATTTTTTATGACTTATCAGCCCTTCCCCTGTTAATTAGAAGAAAAATGATTTCCGGTAAAGATAAGAACTTAAATGTTACAGAGGACATTTATAATTGTCTATGGTTAATTTATATATAGCAGAATTGCATTCATAACTTTTTATGTGCCGTAATCTTCATGACGTGGGCGATCGTAGCCCTCCACAGCTACGTTTCCTTTTTAGGTGATTTTTTTTTTTTAAGTGTTCCACCCCAAGCAAGGCGGGAAGCCACTAGGACGCAAGGGGTTACAGAAGATTTGGAGCAAGATCAGATAGGAGTGATAGAGGAAAGGATGAAGAGAAGGATAGTGGATAGATCAAGGCAACTGGAGATGTCGGTTGACATTACACTTGAATAGCTGGAGATTATAGCTCTCAGGGAAACTGGAATAGGGAAGGGAGTTCCACAGACTAGAGGTGCGAGATATGAAGCTATTGGAGTAGAAGAGACGGCTACATTTAACAGTTTCGACAGTGAAAGGGTGAGAGCCGGACGCCAGCCTCGTAAGGCGCTTGAATTCATGAAGTCTGGGAACCAGCGAATGCAGCTCCTTGGAGCAATTACAATGAAAGTATTTGTACAAAAGAGAGAGGCGACGGCGCGTCTGTGAGAGAGCGATTGTAGATGAGATGCCAGAACAGGGCCAATTATATTGCATATCCGCCTCTGAATCTTATTGTTATGGTCCTGTTCCTTGTAGCACGGTGATAGTCCAAGGTAGAACCAATAAAGAAGAACTCGAACACGGATATGGAATAACACAGATATATTACAAACAGGAATATATACAGAGAAGTAGAAGTGTTAGTATGAACAATCATATTTAGTAGGTAGAACAATGTAGTCTCAACCAGTATCACTATTCCAATATCTTGTAGTAATTGTCTGAACGCGACTCTGTTTCGGACTGCCTCTGACTCGACTCTTGACTCGACTTGAACTACTCACTCCACTTGAACTACTGACTCGACTTGAACTACCCACTCCTTGCCTACTCCCGAGGCGCAGTATTTATTAAGTATGGAATAGTTCATTATTATTATTATGGGTAAGATCCCATAACACTTATCAAGAAACCCGAGGCAAACAGAAGGGGCTCCAGACCATATATGGCAGCAATACTCCATGCAAGGACGAATTGTTGATTTGTAGATCTGAAGGATCGATTCCGGGGAGAAAAAATTCCTGGCGCGGCACAGGGAGCCAATGTTTTATTAATTATTTTTTTACGGCTAATCAAGCCTTTGCAGGTTATTTTAAAACAGAAAATACTTTTTAATTTGTAATAATTGTTTTGGAATTTTAATTATTTACAGATGCATGTTCTACTACTTAAACAATAGCTTGAGGCAGAAGAGATGGATTGTTTACCTTTCCCAACGTCCTTTGCACGTAAATAAATATAACGAATCCGACTCTCATTTGAACTCAACCCGATTTCTGTTTATCCATTTCACCATCCGCAGATATTCCCAAGCGGTCACCTATCTAGATACGTTGCTTAACTTCTGTGATAGTACAAATAGTGGTTTTACAACATGAGCTTTCCTGTGTAACCTTTAGTAAAATTTGTCAAGTTTGGAAAAACGATGCAAAACGAAGCACATTAATAAGTTACAGGAAGTCGTGGAGGGTCATGATCGCTTTTTCAGTGATTGGAGTTTTATGTGATTTACAAAATAACTTCAGACGGTCTTCATATATAAGAATGATCTATTAGTGCGCATTTTTTGATAAAATAAATTTAATGAATCCAATCTATGAAAGAAATACTCTCAGCTACCAAATATTATGCTATTCAGTTCATAAGTCTTTAATGGTGCTGCGCTAGCAAAAATCCCGTTCGGATGTGCCGTTTTTGTTATGTTAAAAAACACTCAGCTGTATCAAAAAATGAAAATAGAGTCACTATGACATAGGTAAGAAAATAAGTTCAGCCCATTTTGCGCAATTTTCACGAGGGAAAGTAAAAATAAAATATCCACACTCTTGTCTAAATATATGTACTGGAGAGAGTGCGGGTAATTAACTGCGTAGATAACATGACAGCACCATTCTCTGAAAGCAATATGAATATTTTTGTATCCTAAGTACATGATTTTGCTACCGGATCGCAGTTTGCCATTTAATTCACAGGTATTTTTATGTTGTTGCCCTAACACAAGTCCCGATGTGATACACGATTTTTGTTGTAATCCCATTTTACGCATTTTCACAGGAAAAAGTAAAAAAAATATCCGCGCTGTTGTCTAAAGATATCTTTAGAGGACAGTGTGGATATTTTGAATCTTAACCTCGTAGCTAAAATACATTTACTGAATTAAGTCTGTGAAAGCAATAACAATATTTTGTATCCTAAGTACACAAAGCCAACTTAGTCAATGCTCTTGAAAAGGATCTCAAATCAGTGGTTAAATGTGGCGGTAAATGGTTACCTTTATTTAACCACCACAGATAAACTTCCCTGCCTCTCCATCAGCATAGTTTATGTTCGACTGGTCCTGACTTGAATCAATCATCTTCATTCTCATAGACGTTTTTTTTTCGTAACATTCCATGTGGTTTCGTCCATGCTTCTACCTTTTTTATACAAATATTTTCACGGTATCTGTTCTGATGCCTATATGTTTTTGCAGAGCCCGTTCCGCCGAAGGGTAGATTTCGTTGGGGAGGTTGACGGAAATTAGGGTCCCAATTTTACTGTTGAAATACCATCTCTATGTTAAAACTGATCAACCACCACTTTTATTTTCACGGTATCTGTTCTGATGCCTATATGTTTTTAAGCGTGCTACTAGATTGGAAATTAGGTCCCACAATTTTACTGTTGAAATAGTTAAATGCAACTACCACTTTTACTTCAGCAGTTTTCTCGCGCTTCCCGACAGTGGAACTCCCTTCCACTTACTTGTTTCCCTGATAAGTACAATCTTCAAAAAATTTAATGCAACGTCAATCGCCATGTTCAGGTGTCTTGACCCTCGTTCTTTTTTTTACTCATTCCACAATCTCACCCCCCTATATACTGTCTTTTCCCTAACTTTTACTCTCTGTAAAACCCCTGCGTTCCAGTACCTCTCCCGTCTTGCATGGAGTTAAATGATTAAGAAAAATTGTTTCCGGATCTCAGTTTGCTATCAAATTCACGTAGTGTTGTCCACATGATTATCTACTGAAGGGAAGCCTCAAACTTTAGCCTTGTGCCAAACTTTACCAACAACAGCAAACCATATTTTTTGCCAGGTCGACGATAGTATTCATTCTGATTTAGATGCGGACTGAGCTGATAATTAATTGCATCCGAACTCTAATATAACTTAACTGATATAAAAACAGTAATTACTTTCGTTCAATTTATTCCATTGTTATTTTTTCTCTCAGTACCTCATCGCCCCCGCCCTTGGACCAGCCCAACAAGAAGATACCAACGATGATTTCATATTGGCCTCATTATGATCAAATTTAAATCACAACGTGGGATAAAGCAGGTCTGAGATCGAAGCGATCCTCATCGATCAGCCGCCCGTGTTGGACGTCTTCGACGACCGCTGAGGGTGTTACATGATTACACGCTAACACTATTCCCGCTGCGATACGCCGGTTTTGTTGTGCTAACACTGCACTCAATTACCTCGAGAGTGAATATTGTATCATTATGCTATAGATATGGAAATACATTTGCATTTACTTATCTATAGCACAATGATATTCAGCCATTTGCGATGAAATACGTTTAATGAATGAGTCTCTGAAGGCATGGAAATATTGATTTCGGACTTATACAATAATTCTATTCAATCTAGACTCGACTTATACATGGATAGATGCAGCGTATTCTTTGTATTTTAAAAAATATCTTTTTTTCTTTAAATATCTCGGAACTGAAATGGTTTACAGCGCTTACCGTAAGGACAGACGAAGCCAGCGTCTTATAATTCTGATAATATGCGATATAAATAATGTCTTTCGCTCATAAGATGTTATATTCTCTTTTTTATTTCTTGTCTCTTCCTAACGGACATTTTCCCACTGGGACTTTAGCGAACGTAATAGACATTGAGCGACAGCAAAATAACGCGACAATGAATTCAAACGACAGGAGAAGTGATATAATTAGCGTCCTTCGATTTATGAACTGCTTGAATGGGAGAAAAATTAATCTTATAATAACTATAAAGCCACCGTCTGTATCCCGGCCGGACTCTCAAGGTTGGCATTATTGAATGCCGTACCTAATTCTTCACGACAGTCCGAGACGAACACTGAAGTGATTTACTTTGTTAAGCGGACTCTTGATGAGAAAGATAAAACTGTTAGAATAGAAAGGCTCTTCCAAAGAGTTAAACAAATCAAAGATTTTTGAAAAATAAAAAAAAATAAAAGAAAGAAAAAGAATCAAGTTAAATAAATTAGATGAAGAGAAGCTGTTAAAAGCGACCCAGGACAAGAATTCAACGAACAAATTTCATAATCATGTTCGCTGCTAATAAACACATTTTTCCCTGCGTCCTGAAGGGACGTAGGCGATATATAACGTTACAGAATCTGTTCTTTTTATCCGTGAATTACCTTCATGGTAAAGATATGGAATGGTTTAACGTATGTTTCTTCATGATCTTAAAATTGTGATTAC